AGAAGAGGACCTCTCAAGGTACACGCTCAAAGCTCTGACGGGGCAGAGCAAATTAAGCTTCTCTTCTTCTGCCGACACATGAGGTGGAGGATGGAATGCCTGAAGAACTGTAGACCGAGCCGTATTCGATACTTTAGGCACGTAGCCCGGACTCGGGTGCAAAAAAGCTTTACTCTGCCAAGGGCAAACTCCAAGCAAGCTGGTGTACCAGGGCTTGGAGATCTCCCACCCTCTTAAGTGAGGTAATAGCCAAGAGAAATACCACTTTTAGCGTTAAGTCCTTAGGCGAAGCCAACTGCAAAGGTTCGAAGGGGGCCAGGGATAACCCTTCAAGAACTATTGCCAGGTCCCAAGCAGGAACCCTGGACCTGGTTGCCGGTCTCATCCTCCGAGTACCACGGAGAAAACGAATGACCAACTGGTGCCTCCCCAGAGGCCCATCAATCAAAGGCGCATGGAAAGCCGCAATGGCAGCCACGTACACCTTAAGTGTGGAAGGGGAGAGACCCGCAGAAAAACGATTTTGAAGAAACTCCAGAACTGAAGCCACTGGGCAGTTAACTGGATCTAACTCCTGTTCTCTACACCAAGTGGAAAAGACATTCCACTTGAGGCCATATAATCTCCTAGTAGACGGAGCCCTAGAGCTAAGTATGGTTTCAACCACTCAAGCTGATAGACCAGCATCTAGGTACTGAACCCCCTCAGAGGCCAGACCCACAGCTTCCACAGCTCTGGGTGAGGGTGGAAGACTGTGCCCTCCGCCTGAGACAACAGACCCCTCCTCAGAGGAATCTGCCATGGCGGAGCTATCAGGAGTGATATTATGTCTGAAAACCATACTCGGGTCGGCCACATTGGGGCAACCAGAAGTAGACTGATGCCCTCTTGACGGACCCTCTCCAGGACTCCCGGAAGCAGAGCGACCGGGGGAAATGCGTACAGGCGAAGCCTCGGCCAGGCCTGTACCATGGCATCCAACCCCAGTGGGGCTGGATGTGAGAGGGAGAACCAAAGTGGACAGTGGGACGTCTCTAGAGATGCAAACAGATCCACTTCCAATGGTCCAAACCTCTCCCATACTGACTTCACCACATCTGGATGAAGTCTAAATTCCCCGGGCCTCAGCCCCTGCCTCGACAGGATGTCTGCTCCCTGATTCTGAACCCCCGGAATATACATTGCTCTGATAGAGAGTATTTTCCCCTGGGACCAAAGAATGATCTGATGCGCCAGTCTGCACAGAGGGCGCGATCTGAGTCCCCCTTGTTGGTTCAGATAAGCTACCACAGACGTATTGTCTGATCGTACTAAGACATGGTAACCATTAATGTCTGGGAGGAAGCTCCTCAAAGCCCTGAACACAGCCATCATCTCTAGACAGTTTATGTGCCAAGAATGATGATGGTCCTGCCACAGACCCCTGGCAAAGCGGCCGTCCATGACCGCGCCCCAACCAGTGAGGGAGGCGACTGTCGAAACGGTTTTCCGACGACATGACGCTCCCAGCACTGGCCTGTGGGATAGGAACCAAGGTTTCTTCAAAATTACCAGAGAACGAAGGCATCTGCGCGTAACTCTGACTATACGGAACAGATTCCCCTTGAGGGAAAAAACCCTTGGCTCTCAGCCACCACTGAAGGGGGCCTCATGTGTAGAAGGCCCAAATGTATAATGTTGGATGCCGCTATCATGAGGCCCAGCAGTTTTGAAACTGCTTTACAGTGATGACCTGGCCTAGCTTTATCCCGGACACCATGGCCAGGATGGATTCGATACGAGCGGGAGACATACGTGCCTGCATTGTAACCGAATTCCATTTCATGCCCAGAAGAGCAGTCTTCTGAGCTGGTTCCAACACATAGTGTTGAGTCTCAACCCCCGATTCTAATCTTGACCAAGGACGACATCTCAATGCCGAACTGCCATTCCTCGAGACTGGGCCAAAAAGAGCCAGTCGTCGAAGTAATTCAGTGTACGGATGCCCTGAAGCCTCAGTGGAGCCAGAGTCGCATCCATAAACCTACACATGAACATGCGGGGAGAGAGTGCTAGGCCGAACGGAAGAACCCGATCTAAGAGAACCAGCCTCTCGAGACTGGCCTCTGGTGGTTTCCGAGCACCCTTCTCGACTGCCTGAAGCGGAAGACCGGCAGGCTGTAGTCGATACGGCTTTCGTAACCATAACCGATGCTCGTTTTTTTATTTTTCGAGGAAAAACGACGCATAGTGCGTTCGCTGGAAAATGATGCGGCCCGAAGCGTCATAGACGGCGGGCAATACACATCGTTTCCGGGCCCCGCTGCAAGAACCACATCCGATCCAGCCTCTCGAGACTGGTCTCTGGTGGTTTCCGAGCACCCTTCTCGACTGCCTGAAGCGGAAGACCGGCAGGCTGTAGTCGATACGGTTTTCGTAACCATAACCGATGCTGTTTTTTTTTTTTTTTTTTTTGAGGAAAAACGACGCATAGTGCGTTCGCTGGAAAATGATGCGGCCCGAAGCGTCATAGACGGCGGGCAATACACATCGTTTCCGGGCCCCGCTGCAAGAACCACATCCGATCCAGCCTCTCGAGACTGGTCTCTGGTGGTTTCCGAGCACCCTTCTCAACTGCCTGAAGCGGAAGACCGGCAGGCTGTAGTCGATACGGTTTTCGTGACCATAACTGATGCTCGTCTTTAATTTTTCGAGGACAGACGACGCAGAGTGCGTTCCCTGGAAAATGATGCGGCCCAAAGCGTCATAGACGGCGGGCAATACACATCGTTTCCGGGCCCCGCTGCAAGAACAACATCGGTTGCCCTGCAACTGAGTGGACAGCCCCAACATTTAGATCTACCATGCTAAACCAGTCCTCGGATCTGATTTGGTTTCCGATAATGGAAATTGTAAGCCTTTTGAACCTGGATCTCCTCAAAGAACAAGTCAATAGCCTTAGATCTAAAATTGGCCTCAGTCCAACATCCTCCTTTGGAACTAAAAAGACTAAAAAGTACCGGCTGTAACACCTGGACTTTCTATCTGGTAGGGGAACACTCTCTATGGCCCCTTAACTCCAGTAGAGTCTGTACCTCTTGTTCCATAACCCGAGCCTGTTCTGGAACCCCTGCGGTCGGTACGACCCCAACAAAGCTGGGAGGTCGGTAACCGGACTGCAGTCCGTACCCATATTTAAAAATATTCAGGACCCATAGAGATAATTGGAAGGCGTTGCCATTCTACAAAATCTACTAAGGGAACCAGCCCCTTGGGACCGGCCTCGGGTGTTTCTCGAGCACTATTCTCGACTTCCTGAAGCAGATGACCGGCAGGAAAAAGTCTAGAAAAATTTTGTGATCATAGTCGGTGCCCGGTTGCAAGCTCTTGGGGTGAACGCCACGGTGTGCGTTCGCTGGAAATCGATGTAGCCCGAAACGTTCAAAAACGGCGGGACAACATATATAGTTTTATATAAATATATATATTTATTTATATATATATATATATATATATATATATATTTATTTTATTTATTTATTCATAAACCTGTCGACGATAGAAGTTACAGCGTCGGAGAACAGGCCAGAAGGTGATAGCGGAGCGTTCAGCAGAAAATATTTGTCTTCCCTTTTTTATACCAGACAAATTAAGCCACTGATGTCTCTCAACCATCATAACTGCTACAATAAGCTATGGTACGTTTAGTGCCATTATACGCCTGTAAAATCGTCTTAGAGTACAGGTGAAAAAGAGTGGGGGGGGGGGGTTTTCCAGGAGAGTTCTTTTCTCTTTATTTGTAAGATTGGGGAAAAACAGTTAGCCCGGCGCTGAGGTTGTGACCTGTGCTGCAGGAAACGCTCATCAAGCTTGCTTTCACTTGCGTTCCTTGCTCATCATGTGGCCAGTTAATGTTAAGTCTGGCCACAGCAGGAGTCACAACCTCTACCAGCTCCTCATAGCTTTGGCCGTGAACTCGCGCCCAAATCACGGTCATCCGCATCAATACTGAGCACATCCACTTCCTTGGAAGCAGAGAGCTCAAGCATTGGGACCTGATCGTGGGCAGGAGAAGCCGCGATGCGGGCTCCTGTACCATTCTCAGGGGCTACGGGATCCTCAGACGAAGAATGAGAAAGTGCCGCAGCAGTCTCATTCTCATCTGTAAGATCCCGCTGCGAACCCCGCGATCTCAATCGTCGCGCCGCCTCAACGGGCGCGGGACCAGAACCGTGGGGAACGCGAGCCTGACCGTGCTCATCAAAGCACGCCAGCCGGGAGCGCAGCACTCTAATAGGAAGTGCTTCACAGTCTGCACAAACAGCTCCCTCAAGAGCTGCTTGTGCATGCTGTGCTCCCAAACAATTCACACACAAGGCATGTGTGTCCCCACCCGTAATAAAACGAGGGCAAGGGTGCACACATCTTTTAAATTGTTCGCTGGCCATTCTGATCAACTGATTGACAAACAACACCAAATAAGACAGACAGTTTCAACACAGAGCGCTTGCTGAAGAGCGAAAGCTAGTGTGTGTTGTGACAGTGTCACTTTTATACTTCCGGGTATGCCGTCACATGTTACGTCACGACGCAACACCAATCAGGATTGGATTAGTTTCATTCATACTTCAGAGGCGCACGCTTAGGGAGCGTCCCCAAAGTGTCGATTCTCGACGCAGTGTAGAGTTCCCTCGAAAGGGAACTTACTAAACCATAGACTGTTGAGTAAAATATCCTACAGTAATCCAGGATGCAAAACACATCAAAGCAAACAGAAGTTGAAAACAAAAAAATTAAGAGTTATGAAGGTTCCAGACTAATTGTTGTTTTGGCAGTTAATCTATTCTATTTGAACAGTGGAAGCAAAGCGTGTTGTCTGATTCAAAATGAACTAAACTGATTCTTTCGAAACCTTGGCAATTCTGATTGTTCATGGCAGGTGTGTTGTAATTTGGTCAACAAGATGAGCATACATTAACCTATGATGCAATATATTTTCCCAAATAGAAAGATTAAGAGGTAAACTTACCAGCCTTTTCCCAACAGCACAAACAACATGAAATCTACAACAATAAGCAGAACATGGAAGATGCTTTTTTTGCTCTTTGGTAAGCATTGTTTCGGTGACTTACTTTACAGTATGCATGCTAAATCTTAAATGAATTGATTCTTATTTCCCTATGACAATTTTGAGATGTCTTTGTGGTTCTTTTACAGTGTTTCTCTTGACTAGAGCTCATGGACAGAATACTTCCTGCTCTTCCTCTGAATTCTCTTTTAAGATGTTCAACAAAAAACTTCAGGTATAGCATCTCTGTATCCACAGCTAAAACACTATGTAAACAATTGTAATAAAAGAATGGTACTTTCAGTTTTGACTATTGCAGGCACATCTAATATCAAAGTTAAATTTTGATTTTTATTCTAACTTTTTTTATGTAGGATATGAAAAATTGTTTGGAAACTGTATCTGATAAATGGGAAACAAATCAAACCGCAAACATTTTTAATCAACTACAAATGCTGACTGATATCATCCAGAAGCAACAAAACAAAGGTAATTCAGTCTGTATCTCTCCTTCCAAAAACAAAATTTCCAAACAACATATCAAAGAAATGAAAGAAACACCCATCACATCCTTTCAGCTTATGCTACTTAATATTTTAGCATATATCGCATGCTATGCTATTTTTCCAAAACTTCAACACAGTGCCGTATACCACTTCTGCCGTGCAAAGGCAAAAGACTGTAAATTCGTTTTTGGTCGAAAATGAGTTATTGATATTTTTGTCACATTCAAGACCTCCTTTATCATGTGGATAAGTATCTTGAGTCAATTCCGTAGTTAAAAAAAAAAAATAATGGGTTGTCTTAACACAGTAACTTCCAAAAGTCCATGAGAAACCAAGGCAGAACACCGTAACACCAGTTACAGCTCTTTGGCTTTGTTTTGGAACGCTCAAATTGAGTTACGGTACTCTCCCTTTGTTTAGCCGTGCGTCAATATGAAGTTACTGTGCTGGTGTTCTATCATGCTACCTATCAGATTGTACGGTGTTCTGCCTTTGTTTTACTGTCTATTAAAAATGAAATCACGGTTTAGTCTGTGTACTTTGTACAGCTGCCATCAGTCCCTGTAACTTCTGATGTCCTCAGAGCTTTTTTCCTGCACAAACGTAGTCAGAACATTTAGTTGCTATGGTCTGAACCCGCTCCATCGACAAACGTGCGATATCGATCGCAAAGGATATAGGCCTATGCAGAGTTGACAGAAAAATGTTACACATGCTGTAGCAGGTGAATACAACTAAGAACTAAAGCCCCGCCTCACCCAGTTCATTTTCCTGGTTGAAACACACATGCATCTAGCTGGCAGAGTACACCGCCTTAAACATTTTGCTTTGATATGTTGTTTGGAATAATATATCACAGGGACAGGGAGTGTTAATAATGAAGCAACACGGGTATATTGGTGCATAAAACATAATGAAGCAACAAGTGTAGGCCTACTGGTGCATGCAACATCAGACCAGCTGTTACAAGCTGGTTATACCTACAATCGAAGTGCAAAAGCACAATAATAGGGCAGACAGCTGAAACCACCGCATACTGAAAAGACGCAGAACACAGAAGGTTGTGCAATAAATCGTCGAGGAAGTCCAGAACGCTCTCCCCACTGAGTCTCAAAGGGGAAAGCGCTGCGTTTTTCGTGAACGTACAAGGAGCACGACACCTTCGAACACGAATCTCTGGAAGCGCCTGTGATGAGGGCTATCTGAATGTGAAAGTATGCCTCTTTCAGATCCACCGCTATAAACCAGTCCCCTTGTCGAATGTGCGTGAGGATCTGTTTTATCGTGATCATTTTTGAACGCACGCTTAGCAAGTCTTATGCCACTCGGTATCAATTGAAGATATAGGGTTGTCGCGGTTATGGAATTTCCCTTGCGGTAATGTTGAGTGGCTCAATAGCGCGATATGCGGTATTACCGCCATTTATTTATTTATTTAATTTATATGTATTTGTTGCTATATAAATAAAGTTTACGATGTGGGCAGCATGGACAAAAACGAGGACATTTTCAGTAACCAATGTAACCGAAACTAAACAGCGTCTATAAGCGCATTGAAAGGCTTTCACTCAGGGCGCACATTGTTACGGCAACGGACTGTCTTTGAGTGAGTCATTAAATCGTTCATTCAACGAACACGTTCAAAAAAGCTGATTCATTAAAAGAGATGTAATGAAACAAGGTGTTAATTATTTTTAACTTTGAGTTCCACTTTTCAAGGCTCAGCTGAGCAGCAATGCGTCGCATGGGTAACGCTGAAGCTGATGCTTCACTTATTAGAGACCAATATGGCATTGATTTAATGCGTGACTCGCTGATTTTATTTCCCCGCGGCTTCCTCGAGCTGTGGAATGCTGACCAGCGCTGCTGCTGACGCCATTTATGGTAAATACCCGTGACGTGAACGTTAAAAGGATGATACGACAAATATTTCGCTTTCCTTTGACACGGCAACCTTTTCACGAATATATATGACTTCAAAGACAGACACAGGTAATCGCATGCGCTCAGTCGATCTCTCTCATTCAATGTCTGTGCAAATCCACGAAGCCTCTGTAGGCTACAAATCACCATGATAAACAGTCTTGTTATCATTATGAACTTGTTTAACATTCAATACACATGCATGAAGTTCAAAACAAGAAGGGTATAGCCTTATAAAAAAACATGTGAATATCGCGGTTGCTGCGGTTACTTGCAATCCTCTGCGGTTGACTTGTCAGTAGCGCGGTACTACAATATTGCGGTTATTGCGACAGCCCTAGGAAGATAGCCTACTCTTTACTGCTATGGATGTATTTTGTCATGTCTAATGTATTAATAATGCCATCAGAATGCAACCAAAGCACAGGATATCAAAAAGTAGATGGCTATAAGTAATTGTAAATCATACAAAATAAATGCCATGATCACTAGATTTTATACAGGTGTTACTATAATGATTTTGTTAATGGTGATCAGCAACCAAATATTGATAATGTGGAAGTTACTGCCGTTTGCCTTGGCATGACTTCTCACTTTTTGCTGACAATACAAAGGTAGAGTATAGTAACTTTAAAATAGTGGTTTGAATAGTGGTTAAAAAGTTTGAGCTCAAGATTTTTTTTATGTAGATAATTTGCATTACTAAAAAATCTAATTGCCAGATTTCCAGTGTCCTATCTATAATTAATTTGGCGGGACAACTAAAAATCTTTAAAGTCATTTTTCTCAGTTCCACACTAGCAAGTTAAGGTCTTTTGCCTTTGTAGGGCAGACTTATCCTAATATGTTTTAAAATTGCAAATATAGCACAGCACCTATTTATCAGATGAGTACCATTATGCTATTTCTTTCAAATATAGTTGATATATCCAAAAAAGTACTAAACATATCCTTGTCTTTGCAGAGTTATGGAGCTTACTGCCAGCAAACTGCACAGCTCCAACAGTGCCCAAGGATGGAGGACTGCTGTGTGTATCTGTGATGGATAATACTAAGATCTACTGTAAACCTATGTGCAATGCAGTATGTACATTAGTCTCACTGCTATCAATTTTTTCAGTTAACTAAAAAAACGTATGCTTTCATATACAGTACTGTGCTTTAAACACATTTTGGATTAACTTTTTTTTCCATTAAAATTGAATACGGCATAATGTTTTTTTTTTAGTTTAAGCATACTATAAAATACATTAACTTTTCCACTGTAAACTACATCCTCAAGTTAAAATGGTATCTGTAGGTTTCATTTTAAATCAAATTTAAGGCCTTTAGGATATTTTTTTAAGGCCTGCAAATTTTTTTAATTAATACCATATTGGGGGAGGGTAATATTATACTATACCTTATAATTATATTATATATATATATATGACATTTATATATACACACACATTTACAATTTGATTATATAAGATAATATTCTAGATACCTTATTATTCTACGATTTTTTAATGCACATTAGGAAGCACATTAGCTTCTTATCGTTCCTCCAGTTAACAATTAAAACAATGCGTGTAAGCAGTGTAAAAAATATGGTTCGATCCTCACATTGGTCTGGACAAAAACAGCAGAAACGCTGAATTCAAACTTCAATCTCATCCCCAGCGGTTCAGCTGATTTGGAATCAGTTCGGGGACCTCCCACGACTCGTCCCATTGCGACCTGTTTTACTCCGACCGAGGGCACGCTCGGCACGGACGTTCTGGCGCACATCTCTGCAAGTATGCGTTTCCCCCAGTGAGCCTTCTTGCACAGACCCTGTGCAAGATCAGGGAGGACGAGGAGCAGGTCATATTGGTTGCGCCTCATTGACCCACCCGGACCAGGATCTCCGAACTTGTACTCCTCGCGACAGCACCTCCCTGGCCAATTCCTCTGTGGAAGGACCTTCTTTCTCAGAGATGGGGCACCCTATGGCACCCTCGTCCCGATCTTTGGAAACTCCACGTGTGGTTCCTGGACGCTACGAGGCAGGTTTGAGTACCCTACCACTAGGGGTGGGCGATATGAGCAAAAATTCATATCACGATATTTTTCACTGTCCGGACTCCGGACGATATCGATATTATACCGCGATATGAGAAAAAAAAAATTAGAATTACATTTTAGTACACCTTAGTTAAATTACAGGCAAAATATGTATTTTAACAGTAGATAACTAGAAAAAGGTGAGGCATTTCATTGGACATAGACCTGAAATGTTTTTTTTTTTTTTTATTATTGTGCCATTTTTTCTCTCAAAAAGTGCAAACGTGCAACATGAGGTAGGCCTGAATGTACTTGTTATGTCTTTCCACTTTTTGCTCGTCTTGTCATAATGAGAACAGGCAGCGAATGAAGACTTTATTGATTTCTGAGTGAGAGCCGTCTTCGGGTGTGCTCTGTCTCCGCCGGGAATATCTGTTGTTATAGTTTTGCTTTTTTAAATTAGTTTTTTATTTTAATATCATTTTCAATTTTGCTTAAATTTCAGTTTAGTTTTAGCTAGTTTCATTAATGGTTTTGTTATTTTTTATTTAGTTTTTATTTTGCAAACACATTTCTAGTTTTTATTTTATTTAGTTTCAGTTTTAGTAATTATAGTTTAGCTTTAGCAGAGCGAGACGTTTAATTTAAGTTTAATGTTTGCACAGATTACAGTTAACTCTTGTGCAGACATCTTAATAATACAAATAAAATAATGGTTTGAGATTGAACAAAGCACCAAATAAATAGAACTTAAAAGTATACAAGAAAAAAACAATGAAAATTTTTAATACAAACTAATTCATTCGTGTAAGGAGACAGAATAAAGGCCTACAGTTTGTACAGTATAAAACCCATTACGTCTATGGAGAGTCCCCACAAAGATAGTGGACCAGTGTGTGTGTATGCGCGCGCTTATGTGTGTGTCGTGTGTATGCGCGCGCTTATGTGTGTGTCGTGTCCTGTTATTCATAGCCTAACGTTACATTGCGGGGAAATGTCTCCACGTGGATAATATTATTAGCAGTAAATGTTTTGTAAAAACAAAGATAATAATAGCAGCTTTCAGCCTTTCAACCTTCATGAAAACATGACATCTCAAACATACAGTAGCCTAGAACTTTAACGTTTTTTTTGTGCTTGACGAACTTGTTTTGGTGTTGCACCCGCGTCTCGCAAATGAAACGGCATTCTAAAAATGCTGTGCTCAAGTTAAAAGTCAAACTTGCGTCTCATTACCTTGTTATTTCCCATTCCACCACAAAAGATGCATCCTTTATGAACAGCTGCTTAGCACTAGCGATGTGTTCTATGTTACAGTCCTTCATTGAACGCGTCACAGGACAGCGGTTAATCGCCTCAGCAACTTCACGTGTATGAAGCACCAAATCAGCCATTTCCTTAAACAGCGTATTCGATTCTGTATCGTCATTAGTGTTAACAGTTGTAAAGAGTAGGCTACCAAATTTAACAAAACAATATAACTGCAAAATTTGAATTTATGAATACGGTATCCTCGGTATCGCAAAATCCATATCATGGCACAACATGATACCGGTATTCACGTTCATACCGGTATAGCGCCCACCCCTACCTACCACCAGCGGTGGTGGCTACCATCACTTCCGCTAGAGCATCGTCCACGAGACATGCCAACGCGTTGAAGTGGTACCTCTTCGTCAACTCAACTGGTGCTCTTCTCACCGAGAAGACCCCAGAAAATGCTCGATCATTGTCGTCTTTTCCTTCCTGCAAGATGGGTTGTAGCGAAGGCTGTCTCCGTCCACCCTGAAAGTGTATGTCGCCGCTATCGCCGCATATCACGGCGGTCAGTCCGTGGGAAAGCACGACCTGATCATCAGGTTCCTGAGAGGAGCTCTCGTTCCCTCTTGGGACCTTGCAGTGGTTTTAATTGCCCTGAAGAGTGCTCCCTTTGAGCCTCTGCAATCAGTGGAGCTTAAGTTCCTGTCAATTAATACAGCGCTCCTGGTTGCATTGGCCTCCATTAAGAGGGTAGGGGACCTGCACGCATTTTCCGTTGACGAAGCGTGCCTGGAATTCTCACGTGCCTATTCTCACGTGATCCTGAGACCCCGGCCTGAATATGTACCCAAGGTTCCCACCACTCCCTATCGATATCAGGTGGTGAACCTGCAAGTGCTGCCCCTGGAGGAGGCAGACCCAGCTTTGGCACTTACCGTATTTTCCGCACTATAAGGGGCACTTAAAAGCCATTAATTTTCTCAAAAAACGACAGTGCGCTTTATAATCCGGAGCGCCTTATATATGGATGGGGAACACACGTTCACCAAGACGGGGAGACAGCGCCGAGCAACTTACGCCACTATCTGCCAATGGATCGTGGATGCCTGCCCTGGGCTGATATATCAGTCTCAACTGTGATTCGAGCTTTCACGAAGGCAGGAATAATCTCTTTATTCCATAGACAGTAAAAGAAAGCTTTATTCAGCCAGCTCACATACCCGTATTTACTTCCTGTTTTCGGCCGAAGTCCACAATAGTCGATTGTCGAGTTCGCGCGCGCGATCAAACCTCCTCTGTGTGTTCAACATCTGATCCGGATGAACTATCCATTTGAGCTGATATTCTCAGAACACCACACAGCACCGTCATCGGCTGACAGTCTGAGTCTCCACTGTCGCTTAGTTACCAATGATCGCGCGCGCGCGCACTCGACAATCGCCTACTGTGGACTTCGACCGAAAACAGGAAGAAAATACGGGTATGTGCAGTCAGATTCACCGTGTTCACTCACATGGCTCGGCTGTGCACTTGTAATGACACATTAAGGTTGTTAAGAGGCTAAAAGCAGGTTTAAAACTTGTCCCGTTTAAGTCAACAGGGTGCAAATTTTAAAAAGAGGATAACACGGTGTAGGCAACACCGGTTTTTGTCGTTGTTATCTGTACTGACAGCATTCCCAATTTACAAAAAATGAGCTCAATGTTAAAATTGACCGGAGTTCTCCTTTAATGTTTGAACAACGTTACCATGGGAGTGAACGGAGTTGTCAGAACGCTTAATAAAGTTTGACTATCTGACTGTTTTGTTGACATTTGTTGACATCTAGTGGATGCATAACGCAAACCCAGTCAAACGTTTGACTGCAGTATCTTATGCGCCTTATAATCCGGTGCGCCCTATTTATGAAAAATGTTCTAAAATAGGTCATTCATTGAAGGTGCGCCTTATAATCCGGTGCGCCGTATAGTGCGGAAAATACGGTATCTGTCCAGTACGCGCCCTCCGTGCTTATGTAGACAGAATCCAGTGTTTCAGGACCTCAGACCAACTCTTTGTCTGTTATGGTGGAAAGCTGAAGGGAAAAGCTCTCTCCAAGCAGAGGTTGTCTCACTGGATTGTGGACACCATTGCTTTGGCATACCAGCAGCAAGGTCCACCGTGCCCCCTTGGTGTGAAGGCTCACTCCACCCGGAGTGTGGCTTCCTCTTGGGCTCTAGCGCATGGCGCCTCGCTAACAGACATCTGCAGAGCTGCAGGCTGGGCGACACCCAACACATTTGCGAGATTCTACAATCTCCGAGTAGAGCCAGTATCATCTTGTGTACTCGCTTCAACTAGCTGGTAACTGGATCTGCTCAGGTGTCTTCGCTTGCTCGCCATTCCACTCCTCGGACTGGATACGTGCGATATTTCCTCAGGTGAGTATCCCCGAGAAGCCCCGAGTTCCTCCAGCACTGTTGACGTCAACGCCAGAGTCTATGCCTGCGGCAGCTTTCGCATTGGCTAGGTGCCTCCATGTGCATGGTTCCCCACTGGTGACCCCCACATGTGTATTTCCACTCTGAGCATGTGCCTTTCCCTTGGTAAGCCACCTTGCCACCCCTGGGGTTGAAACATTCCACCCTGCGGGAAGGACACCCCAGTGTTTTCCAATTTGCAGCCCCCTCCGTGTCATATGTGTATTCTTTAAGTCCCCACCCTTCGGGCAGGCAATAATTGCATATTTCCACTGAGATATGCTTCCAAGTGGTATTCCTGTGTTAGTAGGAGTCCTTTGTCCGTGCTAGTCTCACGACAGGGAGCTCAGACTTACGCAGGGCACTGGAAGACAGCCAAGTGGCATGATTAGACTGGGAACCCCATTCGTCGTCACAACATAACTCGTAGTGACTACGAAAGGGAACGTCTCAGTTACCTCCCGAGTATAGAATAACCCTCGTTCCCTAAGCAGGGTTATGATTTCAGCTTTTTAAGAAGATCACGGCTGTTCGAGGAATGCAGTGCTACCACACAACACAAATGGACAACACAGTATATTGGTGGCAACAGGCTGGCTATATGCAACAGTAAGTTTTGCACATTTGTCCAATTTGAGATTTATAAATGAAGGAATCTGTGAGGTTCACGTTACATTATTTACCGTAATGTAAATTCTGAATACTCTAGTACTGCATGCTTAGGTGTACTGAAAAAGGTGTTTTCCTACATTTCTCTGAAGAGTCCAACGTTGAGGTATCAGGAGCCCCCTCTGCCTACTTCCCTGAGAACCATGACTGTCACAAAATAAAGAGCCATGAACTACTGGGGAATATAACAAACATCTTCCAATCAGAGCTGAAAATGGCAGGGATCTCCAAAGGCATTCTGAAGGCATTCGGCCTTCTCTGCGGCTAGAACAAAAAGATTCAAGGAGCTCTAAGAAGTGTTCAGGACTGGCTTTGTGCTGGGTATAAAATTAGAAAGTTTTTTTGGGGGCATTGAATGTAAAGCATGATTCATGGAAGTGCAAAAACTTAAGTAAAAAATGTAAACTGTAGAAATAACACTTAAGGAAATTAGAACATAGTGGTGTGATGAAGAAACATTAATAAACATGTTGTGAATAATGTGCTCAAATCAAAATAACCATAACTTATAATTTAACAATTAATGTATTTTCATAATGTCAAGGTTCAGTATGGAAATACCACAGTATTATGACAAAGGTAAAACCTAATGAGCAAACTGGTACAGGCAAAATCATTTACAAAGAATATATTTTTTTAAGCTTCAATTGTTGGGCTGGGGAGTCTTAAAAAATCTTCAGACATTAGTCATGTTTTTCTAAGCAATTTTACAGTATACAATTAATCACCCTCACACAATGGGAAAATAAAGCAGGCTATTACTAAGGGGTTTCAGACGATTTAATTTCCGTGGCTGGAATAATCTGCCAATTGGGGTCTAAGGAGGAGACGAGAATCAGACAAGATCAGCTTAATGGCAGATGTGCACCAGTCATCCAACTTAACCAATCATAGCCTAAGGCCAGTGAATCTGCCCCTGTTTATTTCATATGCAAATGCTGCATGTGCAACAGAAATTGTGTGATTTTTTCAGGCCATTTCCATTTGTCCAAAATGCGTATTAAAGCATTTCTTTACAAATAAACAGCCTATTTTTAGGATTAATATGAATCCAATTCAGTCTGTACGCAACCCTTTTATTTTCAAACATGGATATCTCTGTTTGGCTGTATTATTGCAATAGGACCACTAGATGCCAGTGTTGTCAGCATTTTAAGTACTTATATGTGAATACATACTGTAACACAGACTCACATAATCTGTGCCTGAGATGAAGACAGATATCTATAGAAAATGAGAAAGAGATAGTATAGTTCAAAACATTAGATTTATTTAAGCTTTTCTAACAGTACAAATAAGCAAGATCAAAACTACAGATCACATCATAAAGTTGTTACAATGTTGGTTACACTGTATATGAAGTCTGTGTCCAACAAAATTAAATCATTCCCAGGCAAAACAAAACGGTCACTATAAAAACGACAATCAAAATGACAGATATAAGCCTACAAAACCGGGTTTTTCAAGCATACGTTGAAGTCTGACTGAAGCCCTCAGCCTCAACACAAAATGCCCTTCTGTGATAACTTCTGCAAAAAAGAAAAGAAAAAGAAAAAAAAAAAGAGTAAATTTTTCAGATTAAAGAGCTTAAAATGCTTCCTTGGCGCCTTAGCTCTTTGGGTATATAAGGAGATTGCATTAGCAGCGTCAATGAGAAAGACCACTTTTTCTATCATTGTGTTTGGAAAGTACATAGTTACCAGTCGCAGGGATTGAATCTCAGAGCTGAGGGTCTCTCGCAGAAGCTCAAGCTCTTCTTCTTTATATAACTCCAGCTCTTTCTTGAGTCTGAATGGCACACAGAGACACATTCATGCAGGAAGAGCCGATCCCAAAGCGAAATAATACAATCTTAAAATGACACTAGCTATTTTATTGTGTTTGTAATCTTCAAATCTTTAAGTCTTCAAAATCTTCATATCTTGTTCAATCATACAAGTAAGTTAATACTTTATACTGTATTAAGAGGGATAAAAGAACAGAAAAAATGCTCTTGAATGCACTTGGTGAAAAATGTGAAATTGTGTTTTCTACACCGATATTCAAAAGAGCTGCTGTTGAAACTGCAGAACCATGGAAAAAACTTAGTTGTGAATTAATGATGTGTCCACAATAGAATCTTGAACATACTACAAGAAACAAATGCTTGACTTGAATAAGCACCTATCCACTGAGTTGAGAGAATATAATTGCATAAATGACATGAATGGTATGCAACTTTGCTCTTCCTTCATCAGGCTACAGCTACAACATAAGGGGAAAAACAAGCCTTAAAGGTGCAGTAAGTGATTTTTGAAAAACGCTGTTGAAAAGTAGTTTGAACCAAGCACCAAAACACACTTGTAGCCAATCAGCAGTAAGGGGAGTATACACTCATGATGGGGAGGAGAGAGAGCTCATTGCACAAGAAAGACATTAGTAGAACGACTATAGAAAGAGAGAGATGGCCGAGAAAATACAAAAGAGGAAAAGGCCAGAGGAATACAATTTTAAAAAGAAGGGTTATGATCAAGCAAGCGGTAAGACAAGCATTAATATCAGAGAAGATTTCCAGCGCTGCAGAGATCTTAAGGAACGGGAAGGCCTGAAAACAGACGCTGAGGTTGCTTTATTTCTTCTCGATAAGCGAGTAACGTTAGTTTTGCTGTGTTTCACAGAACTAAGATATGCAGTCTTTTGCTTGAATATACTCATGTGTCATCTTCACTTGATTGTTCAGTATTATTGCATTATTATTATTATAAGCCTGAAATCTCTAAACCTCCTCCACCGCCCGTTTCAAGCATCGGCTCCCAAAGTGTGTCCGAAAAGTGAGATAACATGCTCCTAATATATGTTTTTTCTTTTAGTTCCTCTTTTAGTAAACGCTATAACCCCTTAATCTTGTCACATTTGTAATATATTAGTTACTTGGACTATCATGTTATGTAGGGAGCTTTTCATGAAAACGTTTTTTTTTTTTTGGGGGGGGGGGGGGGGGGGGGGATGACTTCAAAAGGAGTAGAGGAGCTAAATAACAATTAGACATTCAACCTGAATTATCATAGTGACACAAATTGCTTTGCCTTATTGATGACATCATACCCTCGGGCGACAGGCACAGCAGATTCCACCATAGTCGTTGCATAGCGTGTATGTGAACGTGGGGACAGAGGCGTCAAGATAGTTTTGGTTAAATTTTGATGATTTCAAATATCAACAGCGTTTATAAGTCATCGCTTAGCTACAGCACCTTTAAGGGCAAAGAATTTCCACACTGTATGTGAACACAACAGCCTTGGAAATACAAAAATCCTGTCTGTATAGTATAAATCACTTATTAATTAGAACTGAATATGTTTGATTTTTCACATAAAGACATTATTACATTACTACTTTTGACTATATGTTGCTTTGGAAAAAGAAGTAAATCTCTTTGAAATGCAATGTTATTTGTTCCAGCTGAATGGGTTTCCAGGATGTAACCAGTTAAGGCAAATAAACTTAAAAAAAAAATACGTTATGCACACTTTTCAAAGAGATTTAAGGATTTACGAACAGTTTAGAACAATAGATAAACAATTGCACTATATGACCAAGAATATTTAATTATAATGGTTTGGTGTAACATGTGAATAAGAATAAGGAATGTGAATAAGCTCACTACCGGTAAATACTACTGGAAACCAACTCTTGAGGTTTAAAGGGGTCATATAATGCCATTTTTGTACAAGCTAATATGATTCTTTAGGGTCTAAATTAAAAGTTTGTAATATACTTTAATTAAAAATTCTCATTAGTATTGTAAGAAAACACTTATTTTACCTGGTCAAACACAGCTCTGTTTTCAGCAAGCCGTTTCAGTGCATATGACTTTAAATAATAATGAGCTTTGCTCACCCCGCCTCTCTGTTCTGTCAACTTCTGTGCTACACCGTTTGTAACTCAATAACACAATAACCATAACGCGTTGTTCAGTATAAACGTGGGATTATGAATTATATTGAGAACGTCATACATAGAAAACATGCCGTAATGTACCCTGAGTGTAAACCTTAGACGCATTCATTGTGAAGCGTGCAGCTAGCGATTTGCAAAGATTAATATGTTAATATAAAGTTTAATAAAACGTTACACTCACTTCCATTCTTCTGGAGATTCAGCAGGAACACGAATATCTGGTACCGATCCTTTTTCATGAGCAGCTTCTTAGCAAATCCAGCTTTATACTGATCCTCGTTTATAAAGCAGTCTGGTGTGTGAAATGATTCGCGCAAACATGAGAGCATTGACGTTGCTCGTGGAGAATATTCCCTTCGAAAACAAACACAGCCACTGCGTCTTCAGCGGTTCGGATTTAGGAACATTAAAATGACTGCTGTGTTCGTTATTACACCCAAGAACAGAACACCACAATCGCTTAGACGCCATTCTGCTCATACACAGTGCTCCAGCATATCAACAATGACGCGCCGGTCTGCGCCGCGCCGCGCAGACTATGATTGACAGCTGGCTCACGAGCGAGGGCGGGTCTGTGTTGAGACGCTCCTGTCAATCAACAATCGTGGGAGGGGCGTGCGAGCTTGTGACGTCACAGGCTCGAACGGCTCGATTTGAGGCAGGGGAAAACATATAAGGAGATTAAAACAAAACCACTGGATGGATTTTTATCATTATATGATGGTTGTGTACAGACACTGCCAACACACATTTCAGTACAATCAACTTGTAAAAGTGCATGTACCATTATATGACCCCTTTAAGAAAGTCATGAATTAACCCAAAGTACCTGATAAAAGACATCTTTACATGTGCAAAATAAATCACTTCAACCCTGCCATGTACTAAAGTTTGGAATGCTGATGGAGTCTTTCTCATAACTTCCACTTTAAATAGACACTGTTAATTTCAACTGACGTGTTCAATGTCGGATGATCAATACAAGGGAAAAACTGCCCTCTGCACGATGGGGGCATGTGTTTAAGAGTGATTCATGACTACATAGGAGAGGAATGAACATATCCTGAGCTTAGCAGCGCTGTCCCAAAAGCCTCGTCCTCAGCACATCCTGAGGGGCTTATACAGTCTTTCCTATTAACGAGAAAGATTTGCTCCACTCTACCCCCCACATATGATTTACACACCCCAGTGGAGGAGCTTTCTTCCTGAGACAGGACAGTTATCGATCCCCTTTCCATCATCACTTCCTAGTGGGGCGGTGATCTGAAGGGGTTGTGTTTATCTAACTCTGGACCGGACATAGTAAGCAACATATCAAAGACCTAATTAATAGGATGGATCTAATGCTGCATTATTTACACATAGTGAAGTAACAGGAGGAGGACGATGGAAAGATGGATGAAGGGAAATTCAGCATTCTTTGCTCACACTCCTCATGGATCATGTTTCTCTGGGTAGATAAAGACACACTAACAATACGCAACATGACATCATGACTTTGCGTAAACATACACGCCACTTTCAATTCAAGTGGCGTGTTATCTATACGCATTTTGAAATATCCGCGTGTATGTCCACGCCGAAATCTTTTGCGTGTATGTCTACGCCATTAAATGTCCGAGTGATTCCGCGTGTATGTGTACGCCGTTAAATGTCCGAGCGAAACGTTAAATGTCCGAGCGAAGCGAAGCAAAATCTATATCTACATCTGTGGAGCGATATTTCTTTTCCTAGGATGGTAGGAGAAGACTCATAAATGGTATTAACCCCAGTGACGGGTAGGTTTAGGGACGGGGTTGGGGTAGGTCATATATCTATATATACATAATACAGTAATATAACGTTAAGTCAAAGGCGTTGATAAACACGCTGAAAAGCGATTATGCGTGTTGATAGCACGCCAAAAATGGAAATACGAATTGGCGTGTCATACATACGCCATTTCATGAGATCAGTCTGCAATACGATAGGTCATAACTTTCTTGCCTGATACAGGTGCTGTCCGTCAAAGGTTTCTGACGGACTGTGAGCCTCTCTGTCTTCAAAATCTCTGTCAAAGCCACTGCTTCCTTCAGATCTCTCTCTATATCTGCAGAAGAACAGAAAACTAGGGGGTTAGGCCTTTTTGAATATTTTTTTTAACTCTGTTAGAGAAAATTCGAAAGTGAGCAGAGCCTTGTTTCACCTGTAAGCTGTGATTTTATATCCTGGAGCTCAGCTTCTAGTGATCTCTTCTCTGCCTCCATGGAACTCAGCAAAGTGTTCTTTTGCTTCAGCAAGTCCATCTCTGAGGAACAGCAAATGTGATAACTCAAGCTACCCGCTGGCAAGCAATCAGACTACAACAAACAGACCTTTGAAAAACAATAACTTCTTCAATGATACTTCGTGTATGCCTTTTGAAAAAGCTTTATTTTCTTAACTTTACAGGCCTGTGTGTCAAATTACAGCATGTCGACAAAAGCTTGAGTCATACAGTACTCATTAACACAAATTTTGGCTCAAATAGTTTGCTAAATCTCGTGTGATGAATGATTTGATGGTTAGTGAATTAACAGTGTAAAGCATATTTTCAGAACTTAGTTAAAATACAAAATAAAAATGTTTAGTTAATGAAAACCTATATATGATTCTTAATAGTCATTTTGACTAAAACAATGTCAAGTTTGACTTAAAAAAATCAAATGCTCAAGAAAATAAAACCACCAGAACAATAAAGTTGCTTCAGAGACCATGGACTCTTTGGTATGAGGTACATTACAGTTCAAAAGATTGGGGTCAGCAAGATTTTTTGGAAGATTGAAGGAAATGAATACTTTAATTCAGCAAGGAGGACGCATTAAATCGATCAAAAGTGCACTAAAAACATTTATAATGTTACAAAAGATTTCTATTTCAAACGAATACTATTCTTTTAAAGTGCCCCTATTATGGATTTTTTTTTTTTTTTTACTTTCATGTAGTGTGTAACATAGCTCTAAGTGAATGAAAACATCCTGCAAAGTTTTAAATCTGAAAGCATATATAAAGTTATTGTCTCTCAAAAGTAAGAGTCGACTCTGAGTCAATTAAATGAATCGTTTTTCGAAAGGTCCTGCTCCAGTCGTGTTTGTGAATGACTTTCTGGTTCATCAGCAACCGTCGGACTCTGGCTCGAATTGGTAAGGCAAAATGCCATGTCTGTTCATACACTGTATAAAATTTTCAACACTTGACAAGCCGTAATCCAGTAATGGTGATGGGCGTTCCGTTTCCGACAAGCTCTGCACGCAGCATACCAATCACAACTGATCAATCACCGCAGATTAGCGTCACGCAAAGGAGGGGTTTGGAAAAATTAATCGTTGAGCGAATCCTTTGGGAGTCGTTGAGCAAATAAGGTAAAAATAAATGCATATTATAAGACAGTGAAAGTGTTTTTTGTCCTTGCATGCATGTAAACAATGTGGTTGGGGACTCCCAAAACAAAAATAGGAACATACAAGGGGCACTTTAAACTTTCTATTCATCGAAGACTCCTAAAAATATTTTAGCACTATTTCCGCAAAAATATTAAGCAGCACTTTTGCAACACTGATAATAAGAAATGTTTCTTGAACAATAAATCAACATTTGGACCCTTTTCACATTTCCAGGGTTCTCAGAAGCCGAAGTTGTTATAGTTGGGTAAACGTCTATGGCGGTGAATGGGAGATGACAGAAAATATAATTTATCTATTTGCATTTGCTCAAAAAAAATAAAAAAATAAAAAAAAATTGCATTAGTGTTTCCATGACTTTCCAAGAGGGAAAAATATAGAGATTTATTACAACATTCAGAAGAGATCAAGATGTCAAATTTGCCATCACTCCCTCAGCCATTGTATTAGAAACACCCTCGCAGGAGCGTTCATTTGTATTTTGTCATTTTTTATAATTTACTGCCAAGATAATATAACACAAAGTATAGCTTTATAAATGTGTATTATTATTATTTTTTAAATGAATATATTAAAAACTTAAAATACTAGATTTGCAATGTTGATAACTGTGGAAACGCATCATCATTGTCCGAGAAAAGGGTCCATTAGAATTATTTCTGAAGGATCATGTGACGCATTACTCCAACTTGCTTAATGTTTGCCAGCACAGGCATGAATTACATTTTAAACTATATAAAAACTTTTTATTTTAAAATTGTTTAAATTATATTTCACAATAACACTGTTTTTACTGTATTTTTGATCAAATGAGAGACTTTCAAAAACATTAAAATCTTAGCGACCATATTGGATTAATTTAGATCGGATTGGACTTATGTACAGTAGTTTGTAATGCAATGATGTGAATGAAATACTTTTGTCGGATTTTCAACAATAAAACACTTACCTCTGTGTAGAGTTTTAGATTCCAACTCCAGACTCTGGATCTTAGAGCGGGTTTGGGTGTGAAAAACAGCATTTCTGTTGCTGATTAGGTTGAATTTATTGTTGAAAGTTATCATCTCCTTCAGGAATTTCTCTCTTTCTTTACAAAATTCTCTTTTCAGTCTGTCCTGAATTTTAAAACAATGGAAAGACTATTATGCAGATTACAAAAAGAGTACAAAAGCACTTTTAACACTTCAGCATGTACATTGTATTAGATGACGGATAATGCATGGCTCTGAAATCTTCAATGGCCAATGACGCCTTTCTTTATCAGTCCACATGATGGTAAAAAGCTTCATAATAGTAATAATATTGTTTCAGGCTTAACTTTGTTGTGTTTTAATGGGGTGTGTGATGAAGAGACAATAGCCTTTCCAAAAAGACGGAATAGAGATATTCTTCAATGTGAAAGTATGTACCAGGGTTTCTTTGAGGTCTCTCTGCAGTTCCAGGACTTCCTCTCTCTTCCTTTCCAGTTGATCTCGTCGCTTTGTCATCAAAACAAGCTCCAGTTTGTTTTCAGACAGGAGCTGAGCCTAAGGTCACAAATGAATCATGAATTTGACCAGTGTCTTATTCAGATGGTCCCGAAAAGTGTCCCTCAAATGAACTTTGTATTCACAGAAGTGAAGTTTTCACAGAACTGGCTGCACAAAGACATTGCGGCAGCACAGTATGTTGCTCATCTGACGGATCAGTGGCTTCAATGCTGTTTGTTAAGGTAAGCTTGTATGTCATTGTATTTGTAGGTCATTCTGTAATTGACATAGCATTGCCTTTTGAATTCATGTCCCTGCTTCTCTCCTTTTACCAGCTCAGTCAACTGTGAAAGACATGAAGGATCCTTCAGGTAATTACTCTCTACCTAGCTTCAAAGAATGCAAGCAAATTATGCTTTGTAATTACACGGCACACGTTGGTCTGACCAAACATAATATTACGCAGAAAATTAGACACGTCTTTCATGACATTCACTACCTCAGGTGGATCACTGAGGTCATTCAAGGAGTCAACTTTCCACGATGCAGAATGGATGAATTTAAAAACGGTGAAAACGTTAAATATACATTTTAAAATGTACTACGTGATGATCAGTTTATGTGAATGGGTGACATCTGAAGTAATCTGCATTCAGATTCATATTGATTCTGTATTGACCTCAGTATTCATGTAAGAGTGACCCCTTTAATCAAATGATTCAATTGCTCATCGACTTACTATGTCTGACATTGGTATCAAACAAACGTGCCATATGTTTGCAAGGATAATTGTATTTTTAAAGGTTTTTCAACAATAATACTAATGTAATCTGAAAGAAACGAGATTGATTTTGCAGTGCCGCTTTGAATTGATCCACTCCCATTTTAATGTATCCTGTCCATTAGATGAAGTGTTTTAATCATGAAACAGAATGTCTTTTCACAGCGCCAACGGATATTAATACTGCATATCAGCTTTCTGCACAGATAAACTTTAAAGTGAGTGACAGTGGACATTCTTAGCTTGTGGCAATATTTCTATCAGATGTTACTTTGGCCGATATATTCAGATAACACTTTAAGAAAAAATGACATGTGAAATGTATCTTTTCTAATCTTCCATTGTGTGTGTTTGTGTTTTCTTTAAACACTGGGTAATAATTGTCCAAACCTTATCGTCCAGTTCGTGATGTGCTTTCTCCAGTTTTTCACACGAGGAGTTTATTTTGTCCTGTACACTCTTGATGGCAGCTTTAACTGAATGAGCAAAGAACCGAACATTATTAACTTTTTCTTACTCTACGAACGTATTTTTTTTTTTACAAAATACTTACAAAATACTTTAATATTCAATGTAAAATAACTTTAGAAATATTGTTGTGTTGAATTATCTTTGTTCAAAAACACACGCGAGCTCATCTCAATAAATTAACCGTTAGCTGCTAACGTTAACCTGCCATAAGTTACCCAGCGTTAACGTTACCTTCATGAAGCTGCTTGATATTTTCCGACACCTGCTGCTCTGTCAATAAAATTTGCTCGAAAAGAGATTCTAGGCTCATTTTTTAATCATTAAATACCAAATACCAAAATGAAGGAAACTGGCTAACTTAGCTCAGTAGCAGTCAAACGACGAGGACAATTTGGTTGATAATTTGTTTCTGGGGAAAGGAGTTTCGTAATCACGCGATGTGCGCATGCGCAATCCTTCCTGCCACCCGTCACCGCGCATTTGCAAATGCTCGGGCGCCAAAGACGTAAGTTATTTGCTGTTTTCTCTTCTAGTCCGCATTAATACTAATTCAGTGTTGCTCAAGACAAGAAAATATTATGGTTGGACATAAATAGTAAAGGTAAATTAAAGAAGGCATGTTAAAGAAATAGTTCAACTGAAAATGAGATTTCTGTCATTCATCCTCATTTTGTCCAAAACTAGGCCAAACTAGACCTTTTTTTAAAAAGTTGTAAATAAAACAAAGATATTTCGAGCATATTTTACAGTAATTAAATGTGTTACTTTTTTCTTTTTTTGAATTAGGGCCTACAGGAAAACAGGACTCATTGCATCCGCCTGTCGTAACAGCTCTAACGTTACGAACTTACTGAGATAGACTTTTAAGGTAGGCCTAGGCCTAATCAGCTAACCTAGCCAGTTCTTTTCATTGTTTGCGTTTTATTTGACTTAAATGTCTAAATGTTAGTGAGAATAATAAGAAAAAAAACTTAGATATCAATCTGTATCTGTTTTTATTCATATTTTTTATTTTATTTAGTAGCATGATATTTGTGTGCAGCATTAAACAGTTTGTTTAAATGCATCTTTTCATATATGCTACATGCAGTTTCTGCTGCCTTTCCTGAGTGAAGTTGGCAAAAACGAGGAATCTGTTCTTCGTACTTCCTGGAATCAGGTGACTTTATTCTCATTATTGTTTGAGTTCAAACTTTTCAGTAGTTGCACTGCCATTACCCCATTGAGAACATGTAGAGTGGATACAAACAATGACATCAGCTTGGAAACAACTGACCTAAGCGCCACGGCAGGAACGGAATTTTTTTCTTCTTGCAAAACATACAGAGATTACATGTTTATGATTTAGCCTACAACTTTGTATACAATATACAAAAGGAACGTTAACCTGTGCCCATGAGAGAGAGTCATTCTCCACGATGATTGGCCGAGAAGACGCAATGTGAGATGAGATGGAAGACATGTGTAACACCACGTTCACATTCTCCTCACAACCATGACGATAGATGTAGAATCCACTGCTAGATCAATGAGTATAGAAGCCCTATGATTACAACGACCATCATTTGAATTGTCACAAAATTCAGAAATTACAGTACATTATGGGATTTTTTTCATTATTGATCGCACAGAGGTCAAAGTTATCGTACAAATACGATAATTATCGTATATCTGGCAGCACTGTGTACCATAGATGCACCACATGTGAGAAATGTATCAGCCCATTGGATAGCTGCTCAGTCGTTTGGCCTCCTCAACTAACAGTTTCATTCATCACCGGCATACTTTGAAGTGCAATTTAAACTGCCAGTCTCCGTATTGTTTAGCGTTTATAAGCACAGTCAGCAATCAATAAGTTTAATTTGGTGCCATTTGGTCCTGCAGTATTTTTCATGTCATTCTTTACTTTCTACATCTTCCCAGACACTGCTGGAAAGGATGGTTTTGATCTTGTGCCACACAGCACATTAAAGTGTTCTAGTTTATATGACCATGACTATATCATTTTGACATTCATTTGCAAAATGAATAGTCCATATTGATTGAAGTTTGTGTTTTTCAGACTTTTTCTTCAAGAATCAAACCAACACCCACCAACTCAACTGTCTGAGTCTGACCCAGCTTAAATCTTAGAGCCGAAGCCAGGCCTGCTACAAATACCCTGCTTGTCACCCATGGCCTGTAAAGCCCAGTTCTCCACTTAAGTTTATTAAAATGAAATGAGCCCAGGTTAATTGAGAAATGCATTTAAATCAGACAAGAAGCATGCCTATTGATTGAACAGTTGTCAATAGATTTGGTCAAAATTATTGATCCCCAATGAACGATGGACAAACGTATATTGGATAAACGTCAAATGGTTTTGATTTTTCTTATGTAAAAATTAATCTCATTCATAAAGAGAAATTGATCTGTGTTTAACCAAGTTAACTGTAAAGCCATTAAATTGTAAAAAGCATTAACAAGACAGAATAAGTAGAATGTAATCCACCAGCCAGTGTCCTCAGAATAGGATATTCCAGTGGTTCTCAACTGGAGTGACGTCTCAAAGTTATTTAAACCAATTATATCTAAGTAATTTAACAATTAAAATAATAAATCCATTAAAACGCACATATATATATATATTAGGGATGGCCCGATACCATTTTTTTTCAAACCGATACGAGTACGAGTATTTACATTTGTGTACTTGCCGATACCGAGTACCGATACCGATATTACTACCGCAAAAGTAATAGGCTCCCAGAAAAGAAGACGACTATTTTAGAACACAGGTTAGAAGACTGTTTTTATTTTCTTCTCTGCTTGTTTTAACAAGTCTAAAAATAAATAAAAATTAGTAAAATAATAAATGTATTAACACACAAACCACTGTTAATTTAACATAAAAGCAAGCAGGCTACTGCGTGCATGGTTTGGCATGACTGAATGCGCGCAAAGTGCGCTCCCTTAATAAATCCTAAAAGCTGACAGTTCATCGCGATCTCACACATCTCTGTTATTATCAATGAAGCTGACTGCACAATCAATCTTTCATAATATCCACACTTTGTTTGTTATAATTAGAGGATTTGCCAGCATACAGAATTCAGCACTGAACAAAAAAGTCCGTTTTGAGCGGTGAGGGGAGTCTATTCATAAATGCTTCTGATTGGCCATTGCGTTCCAGAAATCAACACATATGTCTGTGATTGGCTACATCGCTCAACGCTGTAACCATGTTATGAATAGAAACTCTGTCCTGTAAATCGTTTCTATTTTGTTGTAGTTGTTCTTGTTGCTTTTCTGCAAGAGATGAATACAAATCTTTTAGTTTTTATGTTTTATTCATAGATATTTCTAGTTTGCGGGAGTCCCGCGAATCGTTTTATTCTCCCGTAACCCGCACACACAGAGTGAGTGCATTACCGCCCGCGCGCGCGCTCGGCCATCAGATCTATGATGCGTCTTCAGATGTTTAATTAGATTGCTGGTGTTAAACGATGTACTTTCTTTCCCTCCTCTCGACACCTTAGCTGAACATAACTCACAGTCTGCCTTGCTGTTGTCATCATCCCTTATCTTGAAATGAGCCCAAACCGCCGACATTATACTTTCCTATGTCTCAGTTCACCTCGACAAAGCTCTCGCGGCGGCCAGTTTCGTTTTGCAAAATGTACGTGGTATCGGTGCGTGGTATCGGCGAATTTTTATGAGTACGAGTACGAGTATATTAGGACAGTATCGGCCCGATCCCCGATGCCAGTATCGGTATCGGGCCATCCCTAATATATATATATATATATATATATATATATATATATAATTTAACAAAATGTAGGAATACCTCCTAGCCACTAACAGCTTGGTGACTTAAATCATTGTGAACTGTAAAATGTTTTAATTGCCAAATTCTCATTCTCATTTTACTCATGTTCAACTGTAGGTAGTTGAATTGAGTAGTAGGGTGTTCTTAAAAAGAATTTCCACAATAACCAATTTAACCAATAAATAAACTTAATCACTATCACTTCAACTAACACAGTCTCATCCCAAGAAGTCATATAACTGACGTCTTGGGACGTCTTTTGACCATACGGCAATATCCGCCTTTTTAGGGTACCCTTAAACGTCGGTTTATGACGATCCTGGGACGTCATACAACTGACGCTTTACCTTTAACGTCAGTTAGGTGACGGGGTAGGTTTAGGGGTAGGTTTAGGTCTGGGGTAGAGTTAGGATCCGATAACGTCATCTAACCGACGTTTAAGGGTACCCTAAAAAGGCCGATATTGACGTATGGTCAAAAGACGTCCCAAGACGTCAGTTATATCAACGTATTGACATTCCTCCTGTACTTTATTTTATTATGTGTTTTGTTATTTTATTTTTATTTTGATATTTACTTATTTATATTTACTTTTACTTTTTGACGTTTTTGTCATTTTTCTTAATTTTTTTAATATATATATATATATTAATATTTTATGTCTATGTAGTTTTTTTTTCAGTTTTAGCTGAAATAAAATATATATTTTATTTTACTAAACATTTATTTAAAATAGTGAAAATAAAAGTGGTTTAGCTTTAGTTTCAGTCAGCTATATTAACACTTTGTGTTAATAAAAGGTTTGAAAACAGACACCTTTGTTCTTTCAGCAGAAGTACAAAAGGGGATAAAAATCATAGCCTGTTTGGATGACCATCTAATATTGACTTTGACAATGGAGGACCCAAAGTTACAAAGGCTGAGAACCAGTGGTCTTGTAGTCATTGGTTAGCTAAATGCATACCAACAGATGGCGACCTCCACCAGTCTTTCACCGTGAACCAGATCGCAACAAAACTTTGTGAAGTATGTTTATCCGGCAAGGAAAGCCATCATAAGTTCAATATATTGTCATTCTGTTAAAGTAGTACCTACAACCAAAACTGTTTACAAATGTTATGGCATGTTCCCTTAGATAAGTATTTACACGAACCGAGATAGACTTTGATACACTGAGTTTAATACTCATAAATCATTTAGCCTACTTGATTTCACTGGTTAGATATGTAGGCTACTAATCTTCCCAATTTTATTCAGACCAGATTGTCCAACTAACATCTACAAGTAAGGCAAACATAAGCGATTTTCAACGTCTGCCATGCAATTTCTAAGACATAGGCTACTCAGATCACCAACTGACAAGGGGGAAAAAGCATCTTGCATGAAGCTACTGAAGACACACTCAATTATTGACGTGAAAAGAACGAAATAAACGTGCATTAGGCTATATCATATACTGTTATATAGCAACAGAGCAGTAAACATAAGTTTTGGAGAGGCAAAACGAGACGTCTTTGTCCTGTTGCCGTGTTTTACGCATAAACGCTGAGCGTGCAGTGAGTCGCGTGTGGTTTTTGGTTTGGGTTACAGCGCAACTGAATGCCACAGTGCTGTCGCGCGCTCAGTCGCACGAGGATATCTTGAGAGCTGGAGTTTTATTCTGCTACCTTGCGACTCATTTTCTGCTTGTTTGTTACATCGTATATGCGTCTTAATCCTAGAAACCGTTAAATATAGGTTACTGACAGTTTTGGACCAGGTTACGGAGGATTTTTTCTTATGTAGCCTACTCTGGATGTACTACATTGGACCAACGATGTTTCAATGGACCTGAATGAGAAGGATTATTTTTTTCATCGTCAAAACTATATATTGCGTGTTTGAACCAACTTACCCACGGATAAAAAGCGCAATGATCATCTCCGCGATTTACATCATTTTACCACTGCTGGGTGAGTTAGAGTGCGGTTTTACATATTCAGTAGTGATGTGTAAATTATATAGCCTAGGCTACTGGTAGGCTACATAGACGCGCAGTATAGCTATATATTTAAGTTTAAAACTCAAATGTCATCATAAGACCATAAAAAATAGTTTTTTTTACACTGTGCTCTTTTTTGGATCCCGTCAAATATATAACTATATTCTAGTAATTTAGGATGTTACTCTTGTCTCATAACTGGGGCAAAATTGAGATTCGGCTCTGTCATAGCCTACTTCCACTTAAGTCTTCTTAAATCTTCTTGTGTTAATATTTCAATCTCTAAAGCACCTAAAGTTTATTAAATCCCTTTATATTCTTGAACAATATTAGCAAATGTATAATGCGACAACAATAAATGTATAGGCTATTTATACAAATTAAATGTGAATTGTTAATTTGTTAACAGTTCTTGTTTTGCTTGTAACAGTCTGAGTAGGCTAGTTCTTGAAGCATTTTAAATAAAACGGGATCCTGTCCGTTGATATGATTTTTTTTTTTTGTATTGTCGTCCTCCATAGATGTGCTGCTATCTGCCGAGGAGTCTTACTTTACTAGTTCAAACCGGCTGGACTGTGTGAAGGCGAACGAGCTGTGTTTGAAGGAGCCGGGATGCAGCACAAAGTATCGAACTATGAGGCAGTGCGTGGCGGGGAGGGAGACCAACTTCAGTATGGTGACAGGAATGGAGGCGAAGGATGAATGTCGGCTTGCCTTGGACGCTTTAAAGCAGAGCCCTTTGTATAACTGCCGCTGTAAAAGAGCCATGAAGAAAGAAAAGAACTGCCTGCGCGTCTACTGGGGGATCTATCAGCATTTACAGGGTGCGCGGACTTCAATCACTAATACCCATTCATTATAGCTGTGCCTGTGATCATGTTTAGGTTCAGATTGAAGTTTGAAGTTACACACATAGGCCTATATTTTTTTCTGACATTCTCTTTATTTTTAATACTTAGCAAGCAATAATACTAAGTCAAGGAGTTGCTTTTCTGGGTTCTGTTATCAGATAGGGTCAGTGTAAAGTCTCCAAATGCCTCTCTGAAGTGTTTCCATTAAAGTTTATGGAGTGTGAGGTCATCTGATGCTTTATGTTAGTCTATATGTGTGTGTGTGTGTGTGTGTGGTGGGGGATGTAAACCAGAAATGTAAACCAGCTCCAGAAATGTAAACCAGTCCCATGAATCAATGACCCAAATACTAACAAACATAAGGACAGTTTGAAGCTTTGTTGTTTAATAATATTATTAAGAGTGCAGTTAAGAATAACAGATTTAATAATTAATATAGCATTTCATTATTGGTATTTAATCACATTTCATTTGTTAATATTGCAGGGAATGATTTACTTGAGGATTCTCCATATGAGCCAATGAACAGCCGGCTTTCAGATATATTTCGACTGGCCCCCATCTATGCAGGTAGGATGTGCTTATTTAATAAAGATGCTGTTTGAGAAGAAGAAAAAATAAGACTTTGAGATTGTACAGTTCAACCATGGGGTTGGTATCTCATGTCCTACTTGTTTTCCTCCCTCTTTTTCCTATATGCCCTTGTGGATGCATGCTATCTTCCGGTCTCTGATCCTCTGGATCTTGCATGGGGAGATATAGTTCTGAATGTTCATGGTTAGCGCTCAATGAACCATTATAAATGCTGTACACTTCACCGAACTCTATGGGAAATGGAAATCGCTCGGTTCGGGGATGCAGCCTATGTGAGGTGCTGCTGATGTGACAGTAGTAGCAGTTGAATGTGTTTTATTTGGGGGAGGGGTTGCAATGAAATTTCTTTTTAAATGTGCCTCGGGTTACTTAGGAAAAATGATCGTGAGGGTAGCAGGGGTTGTGTGAATCTGGCCTGAGATGCTGGATGCTGACTTGGATCGTCCTCTAGGTGGCAATGTTGTTCCCTACTTTACCATGGAAAGGGCCCTAATAAAAAGAACAGAGATGCACTGCCAAAGGTGTGCACAACAGATGGTGACAGCAAAGGTTTAAGAGCATCAGATGAAGGCAGAAGGAAAGTTTGAGTTTTCTGAGGCAATTGATTTCCTCCACATGAGAGAGTGTGGATGAAGAGAACACTTTTTTTGTAAATTTAATTAACAAATATTAAACCATTTGTTAGAGATTTGTTGTAAAAGTAAAAAAAAAAACATTGAGAGAAAACTTAAACCTTCCAAATTCATGGTAAGTCATGTATGTCAGTCAAAATAACGAAAGCGAAGCACTGCAAATCCTGGTTGGAGCTTCCCTCAGGGAAATGGAATAAGGTGGTAAACACCTAAGTAATTAAAATAACATGTAGATTGCTACTTCCCTCAGACTCTATCACTCTGTGGTTGTGAGAACAGAGAGAGAGAGTCACGGCAGATTGCTCTAAATCTGAGGGTGCTCCTCCTTATTCCCCATTGGAAAGCTTTTTACATTGATTGACGGCTGAGTTCCATGGCTAAGAAACAGGCCAAGCGGGGAATCAGTTCCCCACCTACATGGGGATTTATGACATATACACTGAGACAAGGCAGACTACATTCTGGGTGTCTGGGAGTAGTAGGTCAGTTTTATTAGCACTTTCTTTTCATCAGCCAAAAGATTCAAAATAACTTTTTAGTTTTAATTTAATTAGCATGTTTCATTGGTCTGGGGTAATTTAGTTAAATTATTTACATATGTTTGTTTTTAATGTGGTGGAGATATGGTAACAATAAAGGAAATGTCTCCACAATATACAGTCGTGCTCAGAATTAATGGAACCCCTGGTAAATATGAACTGAAAACTGGCTGTAAAAAATCAATCTGCATCGTTTATCCTTTTGATCTTTCATTCAAAGAATTTCCCTAAAATCTAACCTTTCATTGAAGTAAAATAATTGAAAGTGGGGGGGGAAATCACATTATGAAATAAATGTTTTTCTCCAAAACACGTTGGCCACAATTATTGGCACCCTTTTATTAAATACTTTTTGCAATCTCCTTTTGCCAAGATAACAGCTCTGAGTTTTCTCCTATAATGCCTGATGAGTTTGGAGAACACCTGACAAGAGATCAGAGAGCATTCCTCCATACAGAATCTCTCCAGATCCTTCAGATTCCCATATCCATGTTGGTGCTTCTCTTCAGTTCAGCCCACTCATCAGGTCAGGGAACTGGGACGGTCATGGCAGAAGCTTCATTTTGTGCTCCGTAACAAATTTGTGTGTTGATTTTGATGTTTGTTTTGGATCGTTGTCCTGGTGGAAGATCCAACCACGGCCCATTATAAGATTTCTAGCAGAGGCAGTCAGGTTTTGATTTTTTATCTGTTGATATTTGATAGAATCCACTATGCCATGTATCTGAACAAGAAGTCCAGGACCTCCAGCAGAAAAAATAGGCCCACAACATTAAAGATCCAGCGGTATATTAAAATGTACACATAATGGGGTACTTTTTATCCTTGTGTTCACCAAACCCATCTAGCGTGTTTGCTGCTAAAAAGCTCTTTTTTTAGTTTCATCTGACCACAGAACCCTGTGCCGTTTGAAGTTCCAGTCGTGTCTGACAACTGAATACTGAATGAGCGAGGAGGATTTTTCTTGAAACCCTCCCAAACAACATGTGGTGATGTTGGGGTTGTTTGATTTTTTTTTTTAATAGGCTTTCTGACCGCAAGACTCAACTAATCTCTACAATTCTCCATCTGTGATCCTTGAAGAGTCTTTGGCCACTCAAACTTTCATCCTCACCGTCCATTAAGACAATATAGACACACGTCCTCTTCCTGGCAGATTCGTAACATCTTTAGTTGATTGGAACTTCTTAATTATTGCCCTGATGGTCAAAATGGGGATTTTCAATTCTTTAGCTATTTTCTTACAGCTACTTTCTATTTTGTGATGCTCAACAATCTTTTGATGCACATCAGAACTATATTCTTTGGTTTTACTCATTGTGATGGATGATTCAGGGAATTTGGCCTTTGTGTTTCCTCATATTTAAACTCCTGTGAAACAAGAAGTCATGGTTGGACAATTTCATGTTCCTAGTCACCCTGGTGTGCTAAAAAAGGTAAACATTCATGGGAATATACTTCAGAGATATTTTCGTAAAAAATTCTAGGGGTATCAATAATTGTGGCCAACGTGTTTTGGAGAAAAACATTTGCAGGACAGTCCCCTCAGAACTTTTAGAATTTTCATGTTTTTGAAATCCCACACTTTAACGTAGGAAAATATATTCTTCGTGACAACACTGAGAGCATATTTTGAAATAAAAGCTGAAACAGCCAGGGGTCACAAAAACTTTGTTCATGAAACGGTCTGCCTTTATAAAACACAGCTGTGCTCTATTGGGGTGTGGAGCATGGTTGTGTGTTCCTGTTCCCTATGTGAAACATACTGAGTTCTCATGAAAACTACCTCTCCCATGTCCGTTTTCCTGCTGAGTATCCTGCTGCGCTTTACCTGTATTGATGTCTGCTCTCCACTCGATTAAATGACTTATTGAATGCTGCAGGGCTTCCTCTCTCTTGGGACTATTGGCCCTTATTTGCCTGAAGTGCCCTTGTATGCCTCAGCCACAGTGCCAATAAAACAAATCCAAAGACAGGGCGATGCAGGGGTCAAAGATTCTACATATTCTATAGCAGAGCTGCTGCTGATGGATTGAGTGCAGAAGTCTTGCTTCAGAATGGCCTGAAATGTCAACAAATAGGTGAGGACAGGGAAATGTAAACTGTTTGAGAGATCCATGTTGCCTGGCCTGAATGTTTCCTGAGGTGTTCCAGGTTTTTTTTTTTTTTTTTCAAGTTTTGCCAGTTAGGCTATTTAAAAGGGTTAGTCCTAAACCTACAAATGTTATAATTTGCTCACCCTCACGTCTTTCCAAACCTTTGTGACTTTGTTTTTATTTTTGTGGAACATTGAAGAGGATGATTTGAAGAGTGTTGGTTACCAATCAGTTTTGGTTTCCATTGTTTTCCGATGTTTAAACTAAAAATACAATGGAAGTCAATTGAAACCAAAACTATTTGGTTACCTTGGAATTTTCATTTTTGGACGGACTATCCCTTTAAGAAGCATGGTGGGAACTGGGAACACCAAAACACTGCCATCCAAAATGCATCTTACTGTATGCTGGTCTTTTCAAAAACAGTAGCTGGTTATAAGTGTGATGATACAAAAGCTTACAAAAATGACACCTAATAGGCTTTATGCACAGCTTCACTACTTCCTGAACTTCAGCCAGCCCTTTGTTTCCTGTCTGTCATTATTGGACAAACTGATTAATCCAGGTGTGCAGGATTATTGTTACTGAGGCCAGGCACACCTGGATTAATCAGTTTGTCCAATAATGACAGACAGGAAACAAAGGGCTGGCTGAAGTTCAGGAAGTAGTGAAGCTGTGCATAAAGCCAATTGGGTGGGATTTTCTCACTGGGTGTAAACAGAGAATTAGTTAGTAGGAGGCAGTATGCTTAAAGGAGCAAGGAAACCACTACTTTTCACAGCTAGTTTATTCACAATTATTTGGCACTCTCTCGTCCTCTGATCTGAGTTGACTTTGCATTACCTCCACATCATTAGGCTTTATGTAGGAGGACAACAGAGAGAAACGAAGCGCCTGAACACTCAGAGCACCCTTTACTCTCCTGAAACACTTTCTGTATCTCAGCAGTATCTGTTTCTACAGTGTTCTGTTGCAGAATATCTGAACCTGGCCTCGGCAGTAGTAATTTAACCTTGTCAGGGGAAAATAAAAATGCACAAGGTTGGAAAACAAAAGCTGTTATTGTCATGGAGAGATGCATGGTGTAAAATTTGGAGTTTGTTGATAAAAGTCCTTGGCAATATCAGGCAATTGCCATTTAGCGTTCAGTGGCCCTGTAAAACAAATGGAACTAGGTTTGTTGGATGTAGGGGGAAGATGTAACACAAAGTGTAATAGCCAGCTATGCTGCTTGAGTTGTCTGGGATGAAATTGCCTAAATGATGGGGTAGCCATGAGAAAAAGAACAGGACATCAAACAATTTCGGAAAGCACGGCTCGGCTATGAATAAGGATGAGTTGCCGTATAAATGTGTTGTTTCTTGGCCTCTCTTTTTGTTATAACAACTGTTTGTCTGTCATTGTGTAGACATATAGCTCTCCGAGTGAAATCGATCTGCCTGTCTATCTATCTATCTATTCTTCTGTCTGTCTGTCTGTCTGTCTATCTATATCTGTCTATTCTTCCGTCTTTCTGACTCTAAAAGTTTTGTATTGACTAACTATGCTTTAGTTTATGTAAGGGATAATGTACATCAAGCCAGTTAATGTAGCCATGTAATAAGCTTATTACACAGTTACTTGCCATGTAAGTAAACAATTAGACATGAAATATTGATTTGAGTTGAAATATTTTATTAGCTCATTAAACACAAAGCTTCTGCGAAGAA